TTTTCTTTAGTATATGTACTCCACCAAATCGTTAAAAAATCAGCCCACTGTGATGAAAACATACTCCAACCGTAATGAAAATATAATTTTATCGTCAAAATATTTATTAATAGGAAGGATCAAAGTATTTTTTTGAATATTTAATATTTTTTTTACTCTCTTTTAGAACATTCGAAATTTTGATTAAAAAATGTTTATCTTGCGTCAGGAGCTGTAGTAACTTATAGCATAGCAAATTTTAGCGGTTTCTTTTTTTTTTTTTTTGTGGTGACAGACATTAATTTCGAAATTTTTGCAAAAATCAAATAAATGTCCGATTTTGATTAAATTTTCAGGACTGGTTCACAAATAAAAAATTTTATTAGAAAACCTTGGTAAAAATGTTTATTTTTTACATGTGTTTCACCCCATTACTCAATTTTATGATAACCTGAAAATTCAACGTGATAATTTGTAGTGACTATATTAGATAAAAGCAGAAGTTTTTGAAGAATTTAAATCACCGAATTGTTTTTGCAAAATCGGACCACGTTTTACCAAAAATATGTTCTGAACTGAAAAATAAAACCCTCAAGAATAAAAGACATTATTTAATTAGAGAAGATTTTAATTGCTTTTATAAATGATATATATTAAAGACAAAAGAAGAAAATAATTTTTTCGATGTAAAAGGAATTTTTACAAGATTTGTTTTCATTTTATACAATTTTAAAATAATTTATTTTAAATATTTTAAATCTTTTAAAATTCAGTTTCAATGTGATAATTCTTAGGAAATATTGTTATTAAGAAAAGCCATGTTTACTAATCATATATTGTAAAACTTATTACAATCTGAAGACATCGAATATTTTAAAAAGAATTTCGATTTCTTTTAATATGTGCGATATATGTGCATAATTTCTAAATATGGATGCAGAAACGGATAAATCTATCATTAAAAGCTCACGTGTTTTAACGGTTGCCCACTCCCTTACGAGGAAACAAAGCATATGAACTTTATCGTCTGCTCCACCATGCTTAACTATGAACACGTTCGCCGGTCAATCGGCTGTCAATAATTCGATTAACACGTTAGAAAAACAAGATCTCGTGGCTAAGAAATCCTTTTATACAGCATTTTATGCTATACGTAAGTAATGTTTGTTTTAAATCAGATCAATTTAACTTTAACTTTGTTAATTTTCCTCAAATAAAATTTCAGAAATATATATTTTATTTTTGCAAGATTTTTAAAACCGATAATTAACTTCTGTTTGCAGATTTGTCAAAAACATATGTTTTTATCAATTTTACTAAAAATAATCGATTGCGATCAATATAATTTCTGTTTGAAATACACCACAGAGTATTTTTCTGACTTGAAATAGTAAATTTTAAATCCTTCAACTTTTAATTAAAGCTAAAATAAAAATTTCGAGAAAGCGTTTTCATTTTTAAAAATTCATTTTAATCCTTACGTATACTGAATTAGTGGAAGTACCTACTTTAGTATATGCGCGTGTGTTTATGTGTGTATGTCTATGTGTGGGTGTGTGATGGTTTTAGACAAATCAAATCAATCGCTGTGACGTCATTAAGTATGACACATATGCTTGTTAACCATCACCATTACATTTATTATTACCCGGGCATTACAAATCAGTTATGTCAGCTGTCATTTTCAAAACTAAACAGGTGATGTGGTGCATTAATGAAGCAACGCAAAGCTTTTCATATTTTCTGAAAAGATTTTCCTCGATTCATCGCTCTTTTTTGAAGTCCGCACGGGTTTTAAGCGACAATTCTCCGATCATCATTTGACGATATGGCATGGAGCTCGCTGAAACTAAACACAACGGGCTCGACACAAAACAGCAATTGAAGGAAGATGAAGATCAAATGGCCGATGCCAGACCAAGCGTTAAATGAGTTTCTCAAACACCTGCCGATCGGTGCAGGCACAGAGGCGATAATGGAACCGAATTCAGGAAGCTGATCTGTGTTTTCAACCATAATAGATATCAAGTCGAGCTTAAAAACTTAAGAATGGCTATGACGCACAAGTCTCCTGTGTTCTCACTGTAACACAAGTTCATAGTTTATTTAGTTTTCAGATTCTACATGCAAACATTCTCGAAGTTATTCTGCCAGTTTGTTATCTATAGACTTTGGAAGATTTCTACAAGGCGATCAGTAAATCGATAATCGATAATTACCAGAAAAGGGTATCGAACTGATCCTTACTCTGAAGTATAGTCTTGAAAAAAATGAAAGGATGAGGCCCATCAACTTGAACTCACAGAGGCGAACAGAAATTATAACTTTGTTTTTTCTACGGCTTATCAACCTATTGTAGAGTAGTTAAAGATAGAAAATATTTTTTTTTATATAATGGCTTTAGTAATACAAGTCTTACTAATCTTATTTATTATAAAACGCAGATTGTGTGTGTGTGTGTCTGTACGTTTATATATTGAATCGGATTTCCTACATTTTTCAACCGATTTCAACAAAACTTCACAGGACTGCGTAAAATTACCTTGCGGTGGTTCTGACAGCGCCAAAAATTGGAAAAGCACAATTGTTTTTGCACGAAATCAATTTGAAAACACGATTAAGAGGCATCGCGAGAATAAAAGGGGGATAACTCATATCGAGTTATACTTATTATAAAACCCAGGTTGTTTGTGTGTGTGTGTTCGTTTATATATGGGACCGGATTTACTACATTTTTCAACCGATTTCAACAAAACTTCACTTTTTTTTGGCAGGTAGTGTTTCTTATTGTCTTGCACACTTTTTTCTTTATTTTTACATTCAGAATGCTTTAAAAATTCCATTTACAAGACAATTGTTTATAATAAAATTCTATTCAATCGGTAGACTCATAACGATTGAAAACAATGTTTTTGTTTCAGTTTGGGTTTGACCAATTCGTAAAAAAAAAAAAAAACTAATTAAGACATGCGTGTCCGTCAACCTTAAACAATAATCTTTGTCAATTTTATTTTTCAGTCTTTATGATGGTCGATACTTGATCTATCTCTTACTGTTACATCCCCGGGCAACGCCGGGCTCTACTGCTAGTTAGTAATATAAAGATCTGTCAAGAAAGATGAAATGTAATAACCTGAACGTAAATTTACTATGGATAATCTAGCGATTAAAGAATTTTCTAACTATTCAAATGCAATGTCAATCGACATCTCCTTGATCTATTCCCCGTCCTTCTCTTCATCCTTTCCTCTTTCACGCCTCTTTGCTCTTGCTCCCAATCCTCTGTAACCCCTTGCGTGCTAGTGGCACTCCCGCCTTGCTTGGGGTGAAAAGCTTAAAAAAATACATTACAGTTTTAGATTTGATGTAAATATATACATCAAATTCGTCCGTGTGTTGAAATGCATTTTCTTTGAAAATGTTGAATTCATTTATTTTGAAAGTTTTTCACCACAGCTGTAAACAAGTAATAACACCTCGCGCTATGAACTGGTGACCAACAGCACCCATTTGCTGCTCACTAAAGAGGTAAGATTGGTTGATACAAACGCCAATGGGAGAGTGGTCACAGGTAGTATATAATTTTTGTCCTTGGCTCATATTCCTGTTAAACTGATAGCGTATCACATCATAAGAGCGTTGATAATATGCAGGCCACCGCGCTAAAGTGTTTCTTCCCTACAAATCCAAATTCTTTTTATGGATTGACTGATTCATTGGTTCATTCATTTTCTACGGCTTATCAACCCTTTGCAGGTTATTTAAGGCCAGAAAACATTTTTTAGGTTGTAAGATATTTTGGGCGATAATAATGGTTTAGCGCTACAAGTCTTACTAATTAACCCATAGATGGGGACAGAAGAGTTGGCTTCGTGCTTTTCCCAAGGATATTTGCGCGTAAGTGAATACAACAAACGGGAACTCGTATCTGCGATTAACAATTCCGATCTATTATTCATTACACCACCCACACATCCAAGCTTACGACACCTGGTATTCCTAAGTGATCACCCATCTAGGTACTGATCAGGCTTGACGCTGCTTAACTTCAGAACCGGTGTTTCAACGTGATGTGCCCGTAAGCCTATTACTTTGAATTCAAATCAATTTTTCTACCAATGCGCAAAAGATAGATAGATAGATAGATAGATAGATAGATAGATAGATAGATAGATAGATAGATAGATAGATAGATAGATAGATAGATAGAAAAAGACAAGGATACGGATAGATAGATAGATAGATAGATAGATAGATAGATAGATAGATAGATAGATAGATAGAAAAGACAAGGATATGGATAGATAGATAGATAGATAGATAGATAGATAGATAGATAGAAAAAGACAAGGATAGATAGATAGATAGATAGATAGATAGATAGATAGATAGATAGATAGATAGAAAGAAAAGACAAGGATAGATAGATAGATAGATAGATAGATAGATAGATAGATAGATAGATGGAGATAGATAGATGATAGAAAAGACAAGGATAGATAGATAGAGATAGATAGATAGATAGATAGATAGATAGATAGATAGATAGATAGATAGAAAAAGACAAGGATACGGATAGATAGATAGAAAAAGACAAGGATACGGATAGATAGATAGATAGATAGATAGATAGATAGATAGAAAAAGACAAGGATACGGATAGATAGATAGATAGATAGATAGATAGATAGAAAAGATAGATAGATAGAAATAGATAGATAGATAGATAGATAGATAGAAAAGACAAGGATACGGGATAGATAGATAGATAGATAGAAGAACCATAGATATAGAACCATAGATATATAATATATAGTGTGAACATAGAAATTAATATATGTTGGTTTCGCTCTTTAAGTTATGAAAAACTGCCAGTGATACAAGTCTTACTAATTAAACCATAGCTGGAGGTAGAAGTGGTGGATTCATACCTTTCAAAATGTTATTTGCCCGTAAGTAAATACAATGAACCTAACGGGAAATCGCCCCTGATCAATAATTCTGAGCTATTATCTATTAAACCACGTGACATTCCCAAGCAGTCACCCATCTAGGTAGTGATCAGGCTTGAGGCTGCTTAACTTAGGTGATCATATCGGAACCGGTATTTCAACGTGATATATCCGTAAGATTATTACTTTGAATCAGACCTCATCCAAATCAATTTTTCTGCCAATGCGTATTGGATAGATAGATAGATAGATAGATAAATAGATAGATAGTGGAACACACCTATTCTATAGTTAATAGACTCTCCCACCTATAATAAGTAGGAGTAGTAGCAGTCTGGGTGCCTTTTACTTTCGGCCTTGTGCCACATCCAAGCTACGCTTGGAAAATCACTATACGAACTGAAGGAAAATTAAATGAAAATTTTAAACGGAGAACATTGTCAGTCATCTTTAATGAAAATTGAATATATATAAATTGTATATATATATATATATATATATATATATATATATATATATATATATATATATACTCATCCAAACACCCACCCACATGCATAGGTATGTGTATGATAAAAACATACATACACGCACGAAAGATTTTGCGTACGTATAAAAATATTTCTTCCACAGGTATTATAAATACTGTGATTAATGTTATAAGACAAGGCTATAAGTATACATTAATGAATATACATAATATCAAATATGATAACATAACTCTGAGTTTCATGCAGTTGTTGCAGTCTTCAGGTGCAAATACAATCTGACCGTTAATTCGTTATATATATAATGCTAACTATATGTATTATATATATATATATATATATATATATAATGCTAACTATATGTATTATCATATTGGTGCAATGGTTAAATTATCGCCATTTTTTATTTTTAATTTTGCGCATGCGCGTTGTTTGTGATTTTGTTAGTATAGTAGAGTTAGTTGAGCACCGTCTCTGAGAAAAATAGTATCATGATGCAGTTTACTCCGACAGAAATTTGTAAAAAGAATGCTGTATTGCTTGGCATTTGGGCCGAAAGCTCCAATACGAACGTTTCAGAGTATTTGAATGTCAATAGGAGTCCTACATCAAGTGCCTTGAGGAGGTAGTGCTACCCTGGGTCAAGAGGATGTGTGCTGCAAGACCCTATGTATGGCAACAGGAATCCGCACCATGCCACTCAAGCAAGCAAACCAAGTCATGGCTGTTAGACAATTTCTGAGAGCATATCACCCCTTCCATCTGGCCACCTAACTCCCCAGACTGCAAGCCCCTTGATTATTATGTGTGGGGTACAGTTGAGCGAGAGACCAAAAAAACTTTTTGTAACACCAAAAATGAACTGATGGCAAGGATTATGGCAGCATTCATCAACTTAAACCAGGAAACCGTTCAGAAGAATTGCAGGAGATTCCAATGTCATCTGGATGACATCGTTGAAGCCAATAGTGCTTTTACTGAATAAATTTACTATTTAGGATTTCAAGATATTTTTGCGTAATTTTGGTAAGTATATCTATTAAAATGAAATGTTAGTATCATTTTCATTTTTGCGTAATTTAAACGACAATTTATCCATCGCATCATATGTGTGTGTGTGTGTGTGTGTGTGTGTGTGTGTGTGTGTGTGTGTGTGTGTGTGTGTGATAATGTTGGCTACCCGTCCCCGAGTATATCCGTCTACATTTTTCGTAGGATGGCTAGCTAATCCCTGTCGCAGACACCAGATCAGGTATATTTGCTTCTTCAACACCCACACACACAATCTGTTGTTTATACTACAACTATGTTGAGCATACCTTAGTTACAGTTTCTGGGAGAAAGCGCATGATATATTGTTAGCAATAGTTGAAGCTCAGTTAAGATGACTCGCGATTTCAGGCTAGCACACCCATCGATGGCTTCTGAACAGTTTCGTCTAACAATTTTACACACACGGCCTGGTTTTTAAAGCACTTAAACCCGCCGCACACAGGATGTTTTCCCCAGGCTGATAACATCAAATCGACTATGGTCGGAATGTGAACGTAGTATAATGGAAGTTTTCTCGAGTGCACAGGGCGGTAGCCGTAATAAACACTGATACTCGCGCCATTTTCACATCTACTAGAAATGAATTCTGAATTGGCCAAAAAAAAAAAAAAATATCGGATTGAAGATAAATTCATTTTTTAGTAATCGCTTTTTTTATATTTCAGCCTCTTGCCAGTTGTTTCGAAAAGTGTAGCTGATTCTACACAAGACTTCGGCACTAAAATCATATTTTAATAGATAGTCTAACAGTTTGTTTCTAAAACTAAACTCTTATGCTCTGAGTTTTCTCTAGTCAATATGAATGGTTCTACTCTTAATCTGGATCCATTTACTGAACGTTTACTAGGTCTCAAGTTCACGCTAGAATCAAGTGGATCTCATTTCTACAATCAGTTGCTAAAGATGCTAGAAAAATGGTCGGCAAATTCGATCACAAGAAGTATTTGATTCCTGCCAAGAATCCGATCAGATCAAAAATGATCTATTTCTGGAGCTATTCAATCAAAAATTTCCAGCCTTGATAGAGCTCAAAATCATTTCCGCGAGGGTGACTTATTTTGCACTTAGCAATCTCTTTCCCATATCTTCAACGTCGGAAGACTACGGCTGGTCTGTCACTATTTCCATGTTAAATGCTCGGAGCAGATTATTTTTTAGTTCCACCCGTTTAGACGTTTACAGATAAGGCATGCCAAGCTACTTTCATGGGGTCGAATCATCTTCATCTCCCCCGTATTCCAAATGCAAGAAAAAATTTTTTCACTCGGGTTTATTTCTCATTGGAAGTAATTAGAGAGAGAGGTTGTAAGAGCGTAACGAGGGGAAGTATAGTGAGAAGAATTTCAGGAGCTTTGTTTGTCACTCAAACAACCAGTAAAGTAGTTACAGAATTACTTCGGGTGTGTTTTGTAAACAGTCCCCTTTCAGTTCTCCTGCCACCGCTGTGGAATTAGGTGCTCAACTCGACATGCATGAACCTGTTGATCTCAGCTAAAGCAACATGGAGGAAAACAATTACGGAATATCGAATAAATGTATTTTTACGAAATACCTTTTAATTTCCTACAGCGGTAAATTACTGTGGATTCTTGGTGAAAATACACCCGCCAAAAGATTAACACCGAATAGTGATAATAAAACTGTGCGGTGACTATAATGAGATACGTAATATCATTGTACGGTGATAATACACACAGTCTTTTATATTTCGCTCTAACACGGAGGTATCTGGGGTTTTACAAAAATCGAAATTCTACAGCGAAGTTTGTGTTTTTTTTTTTTTGTATTTTTTGTTTTTTTTCTTTTTAAGATGTTATTTTGCCTGTAAAATAGACACCAAGGCGGGTAAATATAAACAGTGTTTTAGAACTAAGAATATATTGTATTTGAGATCGTTAGCGAAGTGATTGTGTGAGCTGTGTAGGCAAGACTTGAACAACATGGATCCTGTGGCCTGTGACTGTCATCTTTAGTGTATGCATCTGAAGTGTATTGACAAGAAAACTATGCCCAAGAGTAAGTTTTAGATTTGCAGACTGTTATGCCTGAGGTACTTAGGATATTCAGAGACTTCTATATTTATTTCAATAATTGATGATAAAAAAATGATTTTAACTTGTGTTTTAACAATTGATGGTGGAAGACATTTTAAATTGTCTTAACAATGGTGAAAATAAATAAACTTCTGTTTTAAATTAATGTGTTGTTATTTTTAACATTACCTGCCTTAATAAAAATAAAAATATTTACTGGTAAAATAGCCTGGGGTACTATTTTCTGGAAACAGAGAAAATAAGATTAAAAAGATGATTGTGTCGTCTATGAGGACCGGAAAAATAACTCTTTTTTGTCTTTTTTACTTGTGTTTTAGTCAAATTATTGCTTCTCTCGAATTTTACGTAACAGATGGGATTGAAAATAGATCACACAATAACTGGTGCGTGCCTTTATTACACAGCCAAAATTTTAAAGGTAACATGTGGCATTTAGTCGACAGTTATCGATTATGTCATTTTAATAATTGATAGGGTAAACATTTTCTTCGATACAAGAAATTTGATACCTTAATGGAAGATAAGCCATCATATTTTCCCTTCCTAAGTTGTTTTTTTCTTTAACATAGTTGGCCAGTTAGTGTTGATAACAATCGAATGGTTCTCGATAATTTTCATATTGATTTTTAAAATGTAAATCTAATAAAATCTATTAAATCTTTCGGAAAGTGATATTTTACTTTCAAGAAAAATTATATAAAAATTGCATGAAGTTTGTATGGATTAAGATAAGAGAAGTTATGGTTATATATTAGGTTGGTGCAAAAATAATGTCGTTTTTGACGTTCAACTTAACGTCAAAAACGACATTATTTTTGCACCAACATAATATTTGTCAACGACCTGGTTGAGAAATTTATTGTTGATCCGTGCTTGTTTCGTGTTATTTAATTCTCTATAAAATAATCCGTCCAAGAAAGACAATAAATTTAACTTGGTTAATTATGTTTTATAACAGTGCTAGACAATTTTTAACTTGGTTAATTATGTCTTATAACAGTGCTAGACAATTTTTAACTTGGTTAATTATGTCTTATAACTGTGCTAGACAATTTTTAACTTGGTTAATTATGTCTTATAACAGTGCTAGACAATTTTTCTCTTCAGAATCTATCTTACATATCTATAAGTCTACCATTCGTCCATGCTTAGAATATTGCTGCTACATATAGTCCGGTGCTCCTGCTATATATTTAGAGATCCTTGATAAAAACCAAAGAATCTGCAATATTATTGGTCCTGACCTGGCATCTCGGCTTCAGTCACTTCTCCACCGCCGTAAAGTTGCCTGTCTGTGACTTTTCTATAAATACTTTTATGACAATTGTTCGGATGAACTCTCCGCTATGGTTAGTAGGCTTTATGAGTTTAAGTGCGGTGCTAGACCGGCGATGAGGTCTCACCACTTTACAGTTCAGTCGGCTAGATATAAGTGTAGGTTCTAAGCTAAGAGTTTTCTTTTCTCACACTTCTCACTTGTAGAACTCCTTTTCAGCTCCATGCTTTCCAGTCAACTTTAATTTTCAAAAATGTAAATGCAATGTCAATTGCCATCTACTGTCCTCCTGATTGCACTCAT